GTTTCCAAAGATACTCTCCTAGTCAGTAACTTGTCTTTTCACTTTTTTGGTACAGTCTTTTAATGAACACAAGTTTTAAATTTTTATGAGGTCCCATTTATTTGTTTTTTGCTGTTTGTGCTTTTATTATATAAGATAATCCACTGTTGAAAACAAGGCCTGACAGTGTTGCCCCTACTTGTTCTTCTAAGAACTTCATGGTTTTAGTTTGCACGTTTAGGTCCTTAATCCATTTTGAATTTGTTTTTCTATATAGTGTGAAAAGTCCATTTTACCAGCACCATTTATTGAGGCGATTCTTCTCTTTGCATCAAATGGTCATAGCACCCTTGTCAAAAATCAGTTGACCACAGACGTGTGGGTTTATTTCTGGACAACTTTCAATTCTATTCCATTGGCCTATGTGTCTATTATTAGACCTGTACCAGGTTGTTTTGATTACTACAGCTGTATAATATTTTTAAAATCAGCAAGTGTGAGTCCTACTTTCAATATTGAAAAATTCTCTTCTGTCAACATTGTTTTAGCTGTTTGGGGCCTCTTGCCATTCCATATAAAGTTGAGAATTGGTTTTTCTACTTCTGTGAAGAAGGCTGTTGGAATTTTGATCTGGATTGCATTGAATCTATAGATCATTTTGAGTAGTACTGACATCTTAACAATATTATGTCTTCTAATCCATGAATATGGAACATCTTTCCGTTTATGTAAGTCTTATTTAACCTCTTTCAGCAGTGTTTTACAGTGTTCATTGTATAAATCCTTCATGTCCCTGGTTAGATTTATTCCTAGCTATTTTATTCTTAGATGCTATTGTAAATAGAACTGTTTCCCTAATTTCCCTTTCAGATTTCTCAGTGCTGGTGTATAGAAACCCAACTGAGTTTTGTTTGCTGACTTTGTACCCTGCAACTTTACTAAATTTCTCTAATAGTTCTAGAAGTTTTCTTGTGGATTCCTTGGGATTTGTACATCCATGTTTTATATACACTCCTTTATGTATGTTTTGGAGCCCCTGGGTGGGGAAAACAGTTAACACGCTCAGCTGATAACAAAAGGTTGAAGGTTTGAGTCCATCCAGTGGTACCTCAGAAGAAAGTAGTGGCAACCTACTTCTGAAAAATCAGCCATTGAAAGCTCTATGGAGCACAGTTTTACTCTGACACACATGGGGTTGCCATGAATTGGAGTGAAGGCAACTACCGTATTTTTATGCAAATAGCGCCCGCCTTCTAAATTTGTTTGCCAACTGCTCCCTCCCCTCGTGAGGTATTTTAATAAGCACTGCTATGCCAATTTTTTTTTTTACATGTTGCTGTAAAAAAAAAAGTAGTATAGTGCACTTACAAAAATACGTCGTTGGCGGAGGGAGTGGCTGGACGAACAATTGTAGAACCCATATGTTATTTGCATAAAAATACAGTAGTTATGTATGTTTTACAATAAAACAATTTGTTTTAAAAGAATTAACTGCTATGTCTTGACATTTCTTTTTCTGCATATATTTGATATATCTTGATACATCCTTCTAGCTTGACCTTTGCAAATAGAAATCTTCCCACACTAAGCTCCCAGGTCATCATTCTCATAGGTCCCTATACCCTGTACTATTTGGCTTTCTTCAAATGGACCGGTCCCACAACTAAATCTGTTTCCCCAGGGCTCCTCCCCAGCCCGCTTGTTAGGTCTGGTTTTCTTAGCTCCACCCATGCCTCCATGTAAGAAAGATCCTAAAGGTGTTTAGTCTGTGCCACTGAAATTTGATGGGTAAAAATCTCTCAATTACTTTCAACTCATTCTGCATTCAGAATTCTTTTCTTTGTCAAATGACAACGAGTGAACCAGAAAACCAAATTCTTGTTACATGCTGTCATGGATTGAATTGTGTCCCCCAGAAATATCTGTCAACTTGGCTAGGCCATGATTCCCAGTATTGTGTGATTGTCCACCATTTTGTCATCTGATGTGATTTTTCCTATGTATTGTAAATCCTGCCTCTATGACGTTAATGAGGCAGGACTCAATCTACAAGATTAGTTTGTATCTTAAGTCAATCTCTTGAATGACCAGTAGACAGGGAGACCTCATACCACCAAGAAAGCAGTGCTGGTAGCAGAGCGAGTCCTTTGGACCCGGGGTTCTTACACTGAGAAGCTCCTAGACCAAGGAAAGATTGAGGACAAGGACCTTCCCCCAAAACCAACAGAGAGAGAAACTCTTCTCCTGGAGCTGGCATCCTGAATTTGGACTTCTAGCCTCCTAGACTGTGAGAGAACAAATTTCTCTTTGTTAAAGTCGTCCGTTTGTGGTATTTCTGTTATAGCAGCACTAGATAACTAAGACACATGCCTATTTTGTAAGTAATAAGAAAAATCTGTAAAGAAGAATATAGGAGACAGAGAAGAAGGCTGACTGTTAAACACTTAACTATAAATCATTTTCATTTTATCGCTAAGATCCACATTATGAAAGTAAATGTTAAGTAATCTAAAAATTCCAAAATTTAAAATGAAAGAGAAAAAATTTTTCTAACAGGACAGAACACAAATTTTTGCCCAATTCAGTGAGCAATCAAAAGCACATTTCAATTTGTTTCAACTGACTACTAGCCCAAGGATAACTTTCACAGCAACTCTCACTTTGTATTCTCTAGTATATTTAAATTATATTTAATTTTAAGTTAAATTTAAGTTACATTTAATTTTAAGTTAAATTTAATTAATTTAATAACAACTTTAATTAGTTAATAAAAAAGTTTTACTTAAGTAGGGTGAAGTAATGTCAGTTATAGAGGAAAGTAAAAATCTTTGGAGTTGTCATGCTTTACTCTAGTTTATGATATGTACGTGTTCTTTACAACTTGTTGCCAATTTACCAAATACTTCATAAGTAATCACATCAAGAATTAATAAAGAAACTACAAATTTATGAATAAAGCAGTGACCGCCCTCTTGTGTTCAAACTAAGGATCTCACTGATGAACTAGATGTAATCCTATAAACTCTTATCTTTCAGGAAGAAAGTCAAGGTTCTAAGGAAGCCATCTAAAATTAGAAAAGAAACTCTGATCTCATCAGGTTTTCCACAGGAGTCTTTTCAAAGCAAGACAAAAGTTATTTATCGGAGCTATCTGATTACTAATCACAGTAGGCCAAAGAGTCTAACCTCAGTCACCCATGGCAACTGGGCATGACTAGGATATAAACTTGGTAACATTTCGCTATACTTCTTCAAGTTATACCGGTATAAAAAGGGATTCAGACATTTTCCCACATGGCAAAGAATCAGAAAATACTTGAATCAAGCACTCAAGCATCCTGACGCTGAACAAGTAAAACCTCTCCTCTAATTCCAGTTTTTTATTGATGACTATTTTAAAAGAGAAGGACTTTCTAACTAGTCTTGCTAGTCTATAATGCAGTTTTTAAAAAATCTGATATTTTAGAATGTATCACTTTGAAATAAGAGTCAATAGGGCTCAATACATAGTAATTGACTTTTTAGTTGAAAAGGTATACATCTACTCCTCACTTGACTATTTCATTATCTGACATTTCGCATTTATGACAATACTAAAAAATTTACTATCCAAACATTTTGTGCATTAAGGATGTATGTCTGGCAGTAACAAACGCCGAGGTCTGAGGCGAGAGTAATGCTGCCTATGATGGTTAAGGTTATATGTCAACTTGGGTGGGGGCCATGGTTCTCATTGGACTGGCGGTTATGTAATAATGTAATCATCTTCAATTTTGTGATCTGACGTAGCCATCCTCCATTTTCTCTTAATGCCAATTTTCACATAACAACCTGTCTTTGGAACCTAACCACGTGGATAAGTGAGGCATGGGTGTATATTAAACCTTTCTGTATCTAGATTTATATTCCCTTACCAATGACTCTGGGTGGTGCAAAGAGTTAATGCACTCATTACTAACTGAAAGGTTGGCAGTTCCAGTCCACCCAGAGGTGCCTCAGAAGAAAGGCCTAGCAATCTACTTCCAAAAGGTCACAGCCATGAAACCCTTGGAGCGCGGATTTACTCTGACACTCATGGGGTTGCCATGAGTTGAAATCGACTCAACAGCAATTGCTTTTTTTTTCAAAATCTATGCTGCTAGATGAAATATGATATATAGGTAAAACAATTAGAAATACTATATATCCCTGTTATTATTATTACTTCGTGGTATCCTTCATTAGCCGAGTACTAATGAACCACTAAATAGCATGACTGTTTCTGCAATATTAGCAGAAGTAAATTTCCAACCAAATAGAAGTATACACAAGTTGTAGAGTGATCAGTATACGGAATTTGAAGTTTCTCATTTTAACCTGTCTAATGGTTCTTGGTTCTATTTGCAATAACTAACATTCTAGAGCAATAGTTCTCAAAGTGTGGTCTGGGGACCCCTTAAGATCCTTTCAGGGGTCTGCAAGCTTAGAACTATTTTTGATAAAAATACTGAGGTGTTATTTGGCTTTTTCACTCTCATTATCTCCCAACTGTACAGCTGATTTTCCAGAGGCTACATGGGGTGTGATATCACAACAGATTGAATGCAGAAGACAATATATGAATACATCTGTCTTCTTCTATTAAACTAGACATTAAAGAGATTTGCAAAGATACAGAAGTGTCACTTTTCTTGCCATTTTTTGTTGTTTGTTTCAGGAGTTATTTTTCATTAAAAAAAGTTATTTATACATTATATAATCGGTTTATTAATATTATTTTGAAATGAATATTTAAAGTGTCTCCATTTTAATTTATAATACAATAAATATCAATACATATAAGTCATACAAACAAAAGTTCTTTGGGGCCCTCAATAATTTTTAAGAGTATAAAGGGATCCTAAGACCCAAAAATTTAAGAACCTTTATCCTAGGGAGTGGCATACTGAAGATGAAAAAAATTGATTTACTCTCAAAGCTTTAACAGAAGTGAGGAAAACGCACAAAAATCATTTACAAAGAAAAGTTCAGGTGATACTCACCAAATGTATTTTCCATGCCACTATTAACCAGTTTAGAAAGGTGGAGTATAAATTCTAAAAAGAGATAAAAGGTAAATGATTTAATTAAAAGGAAAATCTATAGTCTTTTATGGTTTTTTTTTTTTTTTTAAAAAAAAAAGCCCAATTCAGTAACGGTGATTACAGTTTAAAACCAGAAAATTATAGAAATATACCACTTATTAAATGTGAACACTGAAACAGGGAGTTATTTTAAGGAGGGATTAGATACAAATAAATCAAATACCATGTAACTTTTAAGGTTAATTTTCATTTTTAAAATACATCATTTTCAGTTTCCTCAAATAAGTTCCCTTTCCAATTCCCATCTTGAATTTACAAGAGTGTAAGGGAAAAGGTGAGTTTTCATATTGAAAAAAAAAAAAAAAAATTCTCATATAAACACCTGAAAAAGGATAAGAGGAACATCTTAAAAGGACAGAACTGGTTTTGCCTAACAAAAGAGGAAGTTGTTTTACACACAGGTTCAGTAAATTATAAGTTTAGAACACTCAAGAATGAAAAAAAAAATTAGCAAAGCAAATCCAGCAATACATAAAAAGGATTATACACCATGACCACTGGGATTTATCTCAGGAATGCAAGGTTAGTTTAACAAATGAATATAAATTAGTGTGATATACCACATCAGTGGAATAAAGGACAAAATACACCTGATCATCTCAATAGAAGCAGAAAAAAGGCATTTGCCAAATCTAACACACTTCATGTTTAAAAAACAAAACAAAACACTCAACTAGGAATAGAAGGGAACTTCCTCAACCCAATAAAGGGCATCTACAAAACACCCACAGCTAACATCATACTTAACAGCAAAAGACTATTTCCACCCTAAGATCAGGAATAAGCCAAGTATGTCTGCTCTTGCCAGTTCTAACAAGTTACCAAAATCACAGACCACAAATTTCCAGTATGACATGGTCTTTTTACATGCTGCAAGAAACTCTTAAACCAAAATAAAAAAAAAGAAACTGTTGCTGTCGAATCAATTCCAACTCATAGTGACCCTACAGGACAGAGTAGAACCACTCTATTCGGTCCAAGGAGCAGCTGATGGATTTGAACTCCGACCTTTTGGTTAGCAGCTGTAGCTCTTAACCACTGCGCTCTCTAATTTATAAATTATACCTGTCACTATGTTATGTGTTTTAGCCAACAGCACCACAGTTTTACCTTTGATAATCTTCAAAAGTATTAGATGGGTGCTATGTGATCCCTTGCATATGAACAATTGATGGTCTGATCCACAGGTGGCTACCCAGCCTTGTTCTCACTGATTATATTGAGCTTCTCCATCATCTCTTTCCACAGATGTAGTTGATTTGCTTCCTGTATATTCCATCTGGTGAGATCCATCTGTATACTCACTATTTATGTTGTTGAAAAAAGGTATTTCCAACAAAAAAGTCATTGGTCTTACAAAATTCTATCATGCAATTTCTGGCATTGTTTCTATCACCAAAGTCTTATTTTCCAACTACTGATACTTCTTTGTTTCCAACTTTTCCTTTCCAATCACCAGTAATTATCAATGCATCCTGACTGCATGTTTGACCAATTTCAGACTGCAAAAGCTGGTAAAAAACCTTCAATTTCTTCAGTCTTGGCATTAGTGGTTGGTGCATAAATTTGAATAATAGTTGTATTAACTGGTCTTCCTTGTAGGTGTATGGATATTATCCTATCATTGACAATGTTGTACTTCATGACAGATCTTGCAATGTTCTTTTTGACAGCGAATGTGACACCGTTCCTCCAAAATTTGTCATTCTTCGAATAGCAGATCATATGATTGTCCGATTCAAAATGGCCAATACCAGTTCATTTCAGCTCACTAATTCCAAGGATATCTATCTTCAAGTGTTCCATTTCATTTTTGACAACTTCCTATTTTCCTAGATTCATACTTTGAACATTCCAGGTTCCAATCATTAATGGATGTTTGCAGTTGTTTCTTCACATATTGAGTCGTGCAACATCAGCAAATGAAGGACCTGAAAGCTTTACTCCATCCACGTCATTAAGGTCGACTCTACTTTGAGGAAGCAGCTCATCAACTGCTCATACGCAAGTTCAAGTTCAACTTGAAGAAAATTAGAACAAGTCAACGAGAGACAAAGTATGAACTTTAGTATATCTCATCTGAACTTAAAGACCATCTCAAGAACAGATTTGACATGTTAAACACTAATGACTGAAGACTAGACAAGTTTTGGAATGACATCAAGGGCATCATACATGAAGAAAGCAAGAGGTCATTAAAAAGACAGAAAAGAAAGAAAAGACCAAAATGGATGCCAGAAGAGACTCTGAAACTTGCTCTTGAACGTCGGGTAGCTAAAGCAAATGGAAGAAATGACGAAGAAAAAGACCTGAACAGAAGATTTCAAAGGGTGGCTCAAGAAGACAAACTGAAGTATTATAATGACATGCGGAAAGACCTGCAGTTAGAAAACCAAAAGGGAAGAACACGATCGGCATTTCTCAAGCTGAAAGAACTGAAGAAAAAATTCAAGCCTTGAGTTGCAATACTTAAGAATTCCATGGAGAAAATATTCAATGACGCAGGAAGCATCAAAAGAAGATGGAAGGAATGCAGAGTCACTGTATCAAAAAGAATTTGTCGATGTTCAACTATTCCAGGAGGTATCACATGATCAAGAAGTGATGTTACTGAAGGAAGAAGTCCTAGCTGCACTGAAGCCATTGATGAAAAACAAGCCTCCAGGAACTGACAGAAGATCAAATGAGATGTTTCAACAAATGGATGCAATGCTGAAAGTGCTCACTCTTCTATGCCAAGAAATTTGCAACAGTGACTTGGCCAATGACTAGAAGAGATCCATATCTGTGCCCATCCAAAGAAAGATTAACCAACAGAATGCAGAAATTATTGAAAAATATCATTAATATCACATTCAAGTAAAATTTTAGTGAAGATAATTGTAAAATGACTGTAGCAGTACATTGACCTGGAACTGCCAGAAATTCAAGCCAGATTCAGAAGAGGACACAGAACGAGGGTTAACATTGCAGATGTCGGATGGAGCTTGGCTGAAAGCAGAGAATATGAAAAAGATATTTACTGGTGTTTTACTGATTATGCAGAATCATTACACTGAGTGGATCATAACAAATTATGAATAACACTGCAAAGAATGGGAATTTCAGAACACTTAATTGTGCTCATGTGGAACCTGTACACAGACCAAGAGGCAGTCATTTGAACAGAACAAGGGGATACTGCCTGGTTTAAAATCAGGACAGGTGTGTGTCAAGGCTGTATCCTTTCACCATACTTATTCAATCTATATGCTGGGCAAATAATCCAAGAAGCTGAACTATAAGAAGAAGCACATAGCGTCAGGATTAGAGGAAGACTCATTAGCAACCTGCAATATGCAGGTGACACAACCTTGTTTGCTGAAAGTGAAGAGGACTTGAAGCATTACTGATGAAGATCAAAGACCATAGCCTTCAGTATCGATTACACCTCAACATAAAGAAAACAAAAATCCTCACAAATGGACCAACAAGCAACATCATGATAAATGGAGAAAAAACTGATGTCAGGGATTTCATTTTACTTGGATCCATGATCAACTCCCATGGAAGCAGCAGTCAAGAAATCAATTGACTTAGTGCACTGGGCAAATGTGCTGCAAAAGACCTCTTTGAAGTGTTAAAAAGCAAAGATGTCACTTTGAGGACTAAGGTGTGCCTGATCCAAGCCATGGTATTTTCAACAGCTTCATATGCAGACAAAAGCTAGACAATGAATAAGGAAGATCCAAAAAGAATCGATGCCTTTTAATTATGGTGTTGGCGGAGAATACTGAATATACCATGGACTGCCAGAAGAACAAACAAGTCTGTACTGGAAGAAGTACAGACAGAATGCTTGATCTCATTTACTTTGGACATGTTATTAGGAGGGACCAGTCCCTGAAGAAGGACATCATGCTTGGAAAAGTAGAGGTCAGCAAAAAAAGACGAAGACCCTCAACGAGATGGACTGACACAGTGGCTGAAACAATGGGCTCAAACACAGCAACGACTGTGAGGATGGTGAAGGACCCAGCAGCGTTTTGTTCTGTTGTACAAAGGTTTGCTATGAGTCAGAACCAACTTGTGGGCACCTAACAACGACAACAACAACATGCGATCCCAGGAACTTGGTCCAGCTTGTTGTAATATTTGTTATACATGTTAATTTTGAAGAGAGACCTCAAGTTTAATAAAAACTTAAGAGACAAATGGAATCTCTTTTTTTATCTGAGTATATTGCTTAATTCCTTCATTCAACAAATATTTTACTGGGTATCAGTAAGTATTAGTCAATGGCCAGAGGTTTACTCACATGCGTAAGAGTAGCACGATAAATAAATAAAAGAGGAAAATATATATTGTGCCATGAACCACCAATTACTTGTCATCTTCAAATTTCTTTACACTAACAAATGGTAAATTGAGCTTTCACCCTGACTACCAGAGGATATCCAAGTGGCCTGCAGCTGATACCACTCAATAAATATTTTAGTGCTACATATAATTTGAAAATAAAGTCAGTTCTTTTCTAACAAGGAAAATCAACCACCTGATAAAATCCTAATCCTGCAAATGACCAACATAGAAAATGAGTCTGAAAATTTTAGAGATAAACTTTAGCAAGTGAGTAGTGAACATTACAGTTAAGGCAGTTAAGTTACACCCATTTTTCATAAGAAAATTCATTTAATATGCTATTTACAGGATAGAATTATACTAGAAATGTGTGATGTGATCAATGGACACACTGAGAACATCAGCTTTCCTTTCACACCATGGTTATGCTCATTGGAAACATTCATATACATACACCTACTTTAGTTTCCTATGAGAGGTCCAGGATAAGTGTGAATTTGTTGGAAAAAGCTAGCAGATAAGTATGAACAAAGTGCAGAACCATACACAGTGCAATCTACTCTTTGGCAGAGGGGGAAAAAATCAAGCATTTACTTAAAAGTAGCTATGTG